CGGGGCATTGCTACTTATATCGGGGGGAGGCGGCGGCGGCTGCTGAGGAGATTCTTTGCTTATTGTAACACAAGGAATGTCCCCTTTTCGTCCTTAAGGGCTAACGCTCTTGAACGATGTATGTAGTTTATAGTACTATATTCTTACAATTTATCCAATATATCAGGGATGTCTTCAGTCTCAAGCTCTTGCACAGACACTAAATCATACGCCATACCGCAGCAATACATTAAGGTTAGGGGTGCTGTAGTAAGCATGTATCGGATTATCTATACGGTTGTTGTACAAACCGACGCACTACTAGCTGCAATTAGTGCAAACCGGCAATTGTGCTACATCAACGTAGTATATTGTCGTAAATATCTAAGAGGTCATAAAATAAGTCTAGCAACAGATACGCAACAGATTCGTACATATACTCGAATCACGTCACAACGTTCGAATCAAATACAGCAGCATTACGGCTAGTCTCATCCAACGCTTGGCCTATTGTCTCGTTCGCTGCAATTTTGCTCAAACCTCCGACGCTGGAAAAAGTACCAGTACCTGGGTTGAAAGCCGAAGCAGATCGGTACGTTTCATCGAGAAGCCCTTGCGCCCGGGGGGGGGGGCATATATATGGATCGATCGGATCGAAGCCCTGGGATACTTAGGTCTCGGTAGATGGCGAGGAGGCGGAAATGAGAGACATCTAGTGTCTTTCTTTCAGTTTGATAGAGTTGTTCAATGGTCTATGCGTTCGGTGAAAGACTGATGCACAAAATCTATAGTACTATGCATATATTACAGCTCTAAAAGTCCATGTGCCCAAATCTCCCACACCCCCTAAGACGTTGGTCTACGTCCGGCGAGACAATCTCTATACTAACGGCAAAGTTGCTAGTGGAAAGGGTAGATAAGTACACCGTAGGTAGCTTCGCCGTTTAATGCGACGGCTGCCCTGCTGCGCCCCCGCAACTGGCAAGACAACTCTAGTACCCCAGTTGATCAACCCTTTTTTCTCCATTAACGAATCGTAACAACATCCTGCCCTTTCTTGCTCGCAATCTCGCCGTCCACGCAGACTCCGATGACCCTGTACGGACTCATCGGATTATTCCGACAAATAAGCAGGTTGCCACAGCTCTTCCTCGCCATCTTCTCCTCCTCCGACAGATCGTCCTGGTACTTGCTGTCGTCGCCGCCGCGCTGCGTCTGCCTCGCATCCGGCCCAGTCTCGGCGTACCCGTAATCTCTCAACATACCGTCAGTGGCAGAATGGCTGAACCCGTCCCTGACGAGCGCTCTGCCCGTGGGCCACAGCTTCTCGGGTCTCGGCAGGGGCTTGCTTTCCTTCTGGCTGCGGCACTGCGAGGCATGCCACTTGTGAGCGTCGATGTTGCCGCCAAAGGCCACGAGACGAAGGACGTTGTTGTGGTCCGAGTTCTCGAGCCACTTCTTCCCTACCCCCCCGGGGTTGACCAGGCCGAGGCCGTCGCGGATGATGATGCGCTTGGCGCCGTCCTGCGTAGCCGATATCGTCCCCAGCGGGCTGCCGTACACAGCGGTGAGGCCCTCGAAGACGAAGGAGAAGGGCGCCTCGATGACGCAGCCGCAGTTCACCTCGACGCGGCAGGAGATGTTCCGCGTGGAAGGGTTCTCGAGGCGAGAGCGGTAGCGCGTGATGTGGCGCAGGCGGTAGTGCATTGACATGTTGTGGTGGCGTAGGTACTCGTACGATGGGTCCTCCCACTCGGTCCCGCTCACGCACCGGTCGATCCAGTTGCGTGGCCGAGCGCTGGGGTCGGTGAAGTCCCAGTAGGGCTGCAGCTTCTCGAGGAGGGTCTTGCGGAAGATTCGGAGGTCGTTGCCCGGGTCAAAGACACTCCCTAGCATGGTGGCGCACTGGACTAGATACCCACCGGTCTCGTCGCCAGATACTTCGACCACCTGCTCGGAGTGATCAAGTATCGGTTCGGTCTTTAAAGTTCCTGTTTTGATCTTCTTGCCGCAGTTGCAGCCCCGGAAGTAAAAGTTGAAATCTGGCCGGCTATCTCCGGTTGATGGAACCTGATTTAGACTTATTTTCATGTACCCGCGTGGGCTGCCAATGAGGCCAGTCGTGGCATACACCTTGGCTAGACTTGTGTTTTGCTTTAGGATGCCGAGATTGATTACTCCAGAGAAGCAATCGGTGGTCGTGAACTGGTCGTCGCTCTTGTCGTCGTCGTCGGTTCCATCTCTTTCCTCCCGTTCAAGTCTCTCCTCCTCCTCATCGCTCTTAAAGTCCTCCTCGTCCCCCATCCCGATGAGCCCGTGGTCAGTACATTCTTTCTTTTCAGGAATTGCATCTTCATACTTTGTGCCAACTGGAATCCAGCCCCAATCACGATCCTCCCCACTGCCGATGGCGAGCTTGGTCCATGCTTGGCCCGTTTTGATGGACAGCTGCTTGAAGAAGGCAAACGAGAGGGCGTTCAGGTCGGTGGTGGCCATATCCCGCTCAAACTCTGCCGGTGTAAACAAACCGCTAAATACACCCAAAAGCCCCGTGAAGGTGTCGGGCTTCCATGTCGCCTTTCGGGGGATGATGGAGATGGACGAGAACACGTTGCCGACGCCCTTGTGGTTTCTTTTCCACCACAAAGGGCCGCCGTTGATGATGTCGCCTCTTGCAGCGTTGATACCTTCCACTACCACCTGCAGGGTACGGAGGATGTCATTGTCATAATTGATCAAGGCTAGGATCATGCTCTGGGTTGTGGTCTTGAGATGCCGAGAATCGTTGATCCAGTCGTACAGCTTGGACGCCTTGTCCCTCGAGTCGGTCGCCAGGTCCATCCAGACACCCAACTCGCCTGCGCACGATAACGTGGTCTTGTCGACACTCCACAGTGTGGTGTTCTTACCCAGCAGCATCTCTTGGTACGTCCAGACGCGTCGAAAGTACACATTATCGAACACGGCCTTGACTTGGTTGACGCATGTGGAGTAGCAGTTAAGAACGCCCATGTCTATAGAAGCCGACTTGACAATGGATTTATCCATGGGAAAGGCCCAGGGCGCAGTATTAGCCCACTCAGACAGACTGTCGACCATATTTTGCGTCATTTTCGCTTCCGAGGTGATCGCCTCACCGCTCGTTTGCGACATAACGTGGCCCACGAATCCAAGATTGGCGACCGTCTTCTGAGGGTCCCATACCTCGTCAATCTCGAGGAGTATATGGCACTTGCGAGCGCTCCTGTAGTACTCGTACATCTTAGGCACCTCGCGAGCCTTCTCAGCATCGTCGCTCTGGTTGATACACACGCAATCCGCCCATAGATATTCAATCCCGCCTTGCACCATCAATTTCTTAATATTCCGCAGCTTCTTCTTAGACAAGTAAAAGGGCCAAGTCACTCCTTGGATTTTAGTTTTAAACGGGATCTTTCTCTTCAGTCCCCACGTGTACGAAGTTATGTCAAACGACTGCACTCTAGGTGCACCCGGGGCATTGGGCTGCACGACGGCAAAGCTTTGAGTGGCGGCATCGTAGCGGAGTAAGCGGAGGGGCAAGACGGACGCCATCGTGGGAGGAATGAGTGCGAGTACGCAGTGGAAAAAAAAAATTCGCGAAATTCAAGACGCGGGTAATTGAGACAGGTAATGAGAGACCTACCTATTCGAAAATTTGTAAGCTGGTGGAAAACTGAACAGATGGAAAATAAAGACTGCCTGTCTCCCAGCCACTGAATTGCAGAACGAAGCGGCTTAGCAGTGCTATCGTGGCACTGCATGCATGTGCCAGGGTCATTTAACCCTTACGCTGACAGCGTAAGGGTTAAATCAAAATTCATGTCGCGGTTATAAGGATATCCCCGCCTCCTCGGATCAGACCCTTGCGTGTCGCGTGCATGGGTCGTCTGTCTTGGCATAATCGCTATATCGCCTTGTTAGGTACATAACTATGGAGATTCTGCAAGGCTGAACATAGTTGTTTTGTATTATTTACAAAGACAATAGATATTGCAAGGGTTTGGACTGGGGGTTTTAAAAATGTACTAATGGCGGAGATGAAATAATAGTAGGCAGTTAAAGTAAACTGGCATAAGAGCTAAGGGTACAACATTTTATATCCGTTTAATAATTCCTAAGAAGTAAATCTTTATATTCTATTATTTTACGGCGAGTTATAGTATAACTTAATTATTTATACCTTATACAGCTTGACTGGTTTGCAACAGACCTCCAGGGTAGTTTCGATAAATTGCCCGTCCCGATTTGTCTTTCTGTTTGACTGTAGTGGAGGATATGTTATGCTGAAATAAAAGTTAACCTCTGGGCAAGATACTTCATTATAGGCAACTTGTTAGAGACCCTGGTAAAATCATGACTTTACATACAGCCGCCGCTCTTTGCAATATCTATTCTAGCGATAATAGCTGCAGGCGCTCTCCGAGCTAGTAAACGCGGTTTCTTTGTAATATTTACTGTATGTACGACAGAGGTCGCATGGATCAGAGGCTTAATTTCTCCGGCAGAACCTAACTACTAACTTTTAGTGATCGTTCTCACTAAGGCCGCTAAAAATAATTCTCTTTAGCGGTATCGAGCGATCCTTTAGTGATTAAGGTCACTATAGTTATAGGGCATCTAGATTACAAGGATAGGTGCAGGGGTTCAACGAAAACCCACTTAAATATAAAGGTGGTGAGATGAGACTTTGGTAGCAACCTCTGTAGAAGTTAATTGAATTGCAGTAACTCTGTCTAATTGGCGGAGTGGATTTGGGTCTTTAAATAGGGTAATGACCGGTGTGTGATGAAATTCTCGGTAGCTGCGCGATAGCCTTGTAAAATTGTACATGGCGGCCTTAATTGGCTGCAACTGCCCCGCTGTATGCTGCAACTACCCCGCTGCAACTACCCTGCTGCATACTGTACTGGTGCTGACAGTTCTGATGCTTGCGGCTATAAAAGGCTGCTTTTGGCTGGAGTTGCACAAATAACTCGTAATTCCATTAATTACTGCTGAGAATGGCGGATCCTCTCAGCATAGCATCTGGCATTGTTGCGTTGGTAACCTTTGCCCTTACATCCAGCGTGAATCTTTATACGATAATCCGCAACTTTTAAAGCTAAGATAAAAAGGCCCGCGCCTTTAAGATCGAACTCAGCGATATAACGACTGTCCTGGAGTCACTCTTGGAGACTGTGAACAATAATCCTGACATTAATTTTGAGGCTCTGAAAGCCCCTTTACACCGTTGCGGGAACGCATGCAATGAGTATGGAGAGCTTATTTGTCGCTTTATGCGACGCTCTACAGCTTTGCGATTAAGTGTCTGAGATTGGGTCACCCAGAAGTATCTTTAAGGAGATATCACCGATTTTAAGGATATGTTGGTAGGGTATAAGTCTACCATAAATATAGCTCTGGCGAACGCAAACATGTAAGTGTTACTTAGGCTAATTTGCTGTCCTACGCTATGGATTAACCGCCTGCTATTTTAGTCGTGTAGCTGCTATAACACTAAGAGTCCTTGAGGATTACAAGGATATGATTTCGGATATAACCCAGGATCTAAAAGAACATTTGCAAAGGCTGGATGAAAAAATCCAGCTTCTGTCGCATTCTGACCAGAGTAATACTGAGTGGCAAGCAATGATAGAGGAGAAAATGAGCATACAGCAAGGTCTTGAAATTTGCGCTTAACTATCCAAACGCATTGAGGAGCTGGAACCAGTGCCGGAAGAGAATTATCAATTTTCCGAGCGTCCTTCGGCATATAAATATGTTAAAAGTGGATTAGACGCTGCTAAGGGTTCTATCAATAAGTTTGTGACACAGTTGCGTAACTATGAAGAGGACATCGATAATCGAATGCAGGTTATGGCTTCTACGCATCCTATATCTAAGGACGCAGTCGCGGAGCTTGAGCGACTACGCGCGACGAAAGCTAGTATCTATTAATGTATATAAGTCATCTCGGATGCAGGCGATACCAGAGCCGTTGAGCGATACAATGTCTTCGAGGATATTACTCTTGCCGATGATGCCTATAACTTTACTATCTCGACAATCGGAGACCTTGTAACCGCCAGGCGCATTAATCTTACAGGACGGTCACGCAATGTTGGAGGATAAATAAGTGACGAAAGCTACTAAAGAACAATTGACCGCTTTTCGGAGCAAGCGATATAGAACTCTTAAGAAGTAACTAAAATCCACGATCAAAGTGCATTAATGCCTAGCTTTGGAAATCGTTATGGCCCTGGTCTTAGGCTCTTAAGTTTGGTGGAAAACTCTAAAACTTTGAACACTAATTTATAGTCAGTAGAATATATATGTAATATAGAAAGGATTAGTCTAAATGCAACACATCGCCTTGGACGCCTTTACTTTCCAATCTCAATCCCCTATATAAACATATGCACCGTGCGTATATTGTTATAACCCGACTTTTATAGTTGCAACAATGGGCCGGCAAGGTGGGCAATTTCAAATTAATATAAGACCGAAGGGCCAATTAGAAATGTGTCGAAAGGAATTATCTTCAATCCATTATAATCTAACACTTAGGCAACTATAGCTTTAAAGGAAATTGTAATGTTTTAGTTTATACTAAGTATAGGGTAGTTTTTAAGGAATATACTTAAGTTGGATTTATATTAGCAGAGAGATAAGTTAAGATTTTTAAAGTATATTTAAATATTAAGAAATTTAGGTTAGGGTTAGGGTTAGGGTTAGGGTTAGGGTTAGGGTTAGGGTTAGGGTTAGGGTTAGGGTTAGGGTTAG